AGGGAAAGTTAGCTATGGGGTGAGCAGGTAACCTTGCCTATGAAAGCTCTGTTTAGCCTCCTCTGTCTATAACAGCTGTTGGGGTGGTCACTTCTCTAATTGATTGTAATCTGGTGACTAACCAGGCCTTTAAGAGGGGAAAACCATTTACTCCATGACCAATCATGGAACATTGCAGAATTTAGGTCTTCCCAAGACTTTCCTCAGGAAATGCCATGTTCATAAGAGAGAAAAGATTTCTTTCCTTTAAGAATACTGCTGGGCGTGATGGTGCACACCTTTACTCCCAGGACTTGGGAGGTGGAGGCAGGCAGATCTGTTCTACATAGAGAGTTCCAGGCCAGCTGGGGATACAGGGAGACCCTGTCTCCCCCTGCCCCCCGCAAAAAAAAAGAATGCACCACAGGGTAGAGAGATGGTTCGATGGTTAAGAGTCCTAGCTGCTCTTGTGGAAGACTTGGGTTCAATTCCCATGTAACAACTGCCTGTAACTCCAGTTCCAGAGGAATCTGATGCCCTCTTCTGACCTCTGCAGGCATTGCACAAAGTGGGTGTACTCATACATGCAGGCAATGCACTCATACACATAAAATAAAAAATAATAAATAACATAAAATAATGCACCTCTGAGTTAGGCCGTTTCTACTGCAGGAGAGGGCTCTTGTCATCCTACCCAGCTTTGTCTCTGGAAACAAGAAAGAGCTCCTTGGTTGCCCCTGATAGAGCTCCAGGTGTGTATTGGTGGGGCATGGCCAGGAAGCAGGGCAACATCCAGATCAATACTGAGGAACTAAGAGGAATTCCTATCCTACATGTCACAATGTGTGACTGGCTGATCTGAAGAAGTCTCTGGAAGGATGTGCTGTGGTCAGAGGAATGGACTCCAGAATCCAACTGTCCAAGGTCCACTTATAAATGTGGAACCAGGGTCAAGTTTCTTAACCCTCAGTTCCCCATCTGAACAATGGGTCTTGACAACACTTCCCTTGTGGCAATGTCATTGAGAAGGTTAAATGAGTGGCAAATGTCACTGCCTAGCACAGGTCCTGGGGCATATTAAGTACTCAATCAATGTTAGGTGCCATGGTTAGCCACAGCAGTAGAAAGCATGTGCAAAACAACTGGTGAGGGAAAGTGAGCTATGTGGAGTGAAGTTTTGTTCACTGCTCTGTAATTGGCATGTTGCTTGGCAAACTCTAAGAGCCAAAAATGGTTTAGTCTGCCTTCCAAGAAAACTGAACAACAGGTGCCTGAGCTGTCTTAACTTATTCCAGGCTGAAGGCAGTCTGGTTTGGTTTAAAACCTCCTGGAGCAGGTTTAAATGCCTCCACCTCTGATGACTCCCTGACTCCAGTGACTTTCCCTGGCATGCCATGAAATCAGTGAGTGTTAAATGAATGCCCTCCATTCCCCAAGGAAAGCTGTGACAGCACAGCTTGCAGCTGTCCATCAGACACGGAAATGACAGCCCTAGTGACACACTGACCGCTTTTCTTGCCTTGGGGATGACGGGCCTCTGAGCTATAAAGTGAAGGATCTTAGGGCATGCCCACTGGCTGGCTGCCCACACAGGATCAGATGACCATCTCTTCAGATGTCCCTGGAGCCCAGGGGATGGAGAGAAAGCAGTTGGGAGCACACACAGTCGACAACTTCTGTTCTAACCTTGGCTTCTAAGGTGCCTCCACGTGGGAGAAATCACCACCCATACTGTCCAAATGGGTATCCAACTCCCTTCCCTTCCCAGCAGGCCATTTTTAACAAGGAGTTTGACAGACTATCTTGCATCCCCCAACAACAACAAATGCTGCTTGGAACAAACAGTGAATGTGTGTTTACTCAATTAATGGCTTCAGGAACTGAACCTATTTAGGATTATTTACACGGAGGCTTACTAGCTACTCACAAACATCTGAAGGCAACCATAACAGACTTCTCTGCGTTCCCAGAAGTCAGGACTGAGGTTTAGTGTAAGAATGAGCTTTCCGGTTTCCAATGGTGCAGTGACGAGTTACCACAGAAACCACCAGCAAATGAAAGACAGGGAGAGTTCTCAGAGAAGGCATGGTGGGGCTCAGTACCGGCCAGGGGCAGCTGTACGTGGCGCTCTGACTAAGGAGACATTGGAAGGTAAGCTCAGGAGGTAATCCTCAGGAGACCTCAGAGGACAGAGCAGGGTCATCTCAGAACTGCTGAAGCTTGCCTATGTAGACCCATTTGGTGCAGCCTCCGAGAGTGCCTAGGGTACTGTACTGTTAGTGTTGGCCAGCTGCCCCAAGGGAGCACCCTAAGTGAACCACCAAGAGGGGTTGGCTGGGTGCACCCTAAACTGGGCGTGTTTGGAAGGAAGGGGAGGAAGGGCAGAACACCTACCACAATACATACACAGTCTCTGTTAGTGTCACACAAGTGCCAGAAAGAAGATCCTGAAGACCAGCTGGCCTGAAGAGGCATTTCCACTTGAGGATGGGCCAATCACTTGAGAGAGATAGAGGGGGATGGAAAGAGACAAACCTCTTACAGAAAGCCTCTTTGTCAAAGGAGAGGAAATTACCCAGCCAACCAGGGTATTCTAATTAGAGCTGCCTTATCAGAGCATCTCCAGCCAAACAAGGAGAAATCCAATCTATAGCCCGCAGAATCCGAAATGAGATCTAATTGGGATCTGTTTTCCAAATGCTCAACAGCAGGTCAGAACCAGTGATGGTGACTCCAGCCCTGCCTGAGGGTTCTTTGTGGAAAGCAAGTCTGCCTGAATTGTATCAAGTCCTGGTCTCCACACAGGGAGAAACAGTCTTTACCCCTCAGCTAGTTAATTCCATCTGCTCAAAGTGACGCTCTTCACCTGGAGAGGCCTTTCCAGTGGGGGTGGGGGTGGGGGTTAGTAACCTCCTGACTGTTGTCAGCTTAGAGCAGGGACACATTTCTTTTGTTTAAAAACATGCCTTTTTAGACTCTTGATACACACTATTCACAATGCTAGGCATGCTGACACCTGCTCTATCTCTCCTTAGTGTATATGGACATTCTTTCAATGCAGATCATAAAAGTCCATTCCCCCCAGCCTAGCAGGGCGCAGCTCCTCCAAATCCACTTCCAGGCAGATGCTATTGTTACTCTTCTCCTGGGAATTATAGCTTCAGTTAACCAGCCTTGTGGTGGCTGTTATAACGTACTGTTTCTCTGCTAGGAGCAAAGAATACCATCTGTAAAGCACCCAGATGCCTGCAGAGCCCTGGCATGCCATTCTAAAAAACAGCCATAAAGACCCATGCAAGGCTTGGACCCTGGAGCACAGATCTGTCCACTATAGCCAAGCAGAATAAGATAGCAGGGAGGGTCTGTGTTGGTGGTATAGTGGTGAGCAGAGCTGCCTTCCAAGATAGCAGGGAGAAAGAGATAGGCAGATCCAGGGAACAAGACAGAGATGTGTCTCTCTCTGGTTTTCAGCTTTGTCAAATGAGTCTGACTGTTGGTGTTGAATCTGCTGCCTGGAAACTTGATGGGCATTTCATCCCAATATGGTTCATGTTACTGTGTTCTCCCAGGACAATCGGTCCAGGGACACAGGGAGTTAGGAAGTAAAGACATGTGATAGGAAGGACCAGAGAAAAAGTTTGCTTTCTCTTTCTAGAAGCTTCTCTGGACACCAACTACATACGTGCTTCCCACCTACCTCTCTGTGTCTTTGGTCCTGTGTGTCCTGCCTATTCAGAGATCTGCCTGGACTACCTGGCTTAGAGGTGGTTCCTCCTAACTGTGCAAAGGAGACAGGGAGGCCCTCTTACTGATATCTTACTGATATCTAAGTATCCCTGATACTTAGAGGTGATTCTCTCTCTCCCTCTGCCTCACTCTCTCTCTCTCTGTCTCTCCTCCCTTCCTCCTTCCTTTTTGAGACAAGGACTCATGTAGCCCAGGCTCAAACTCATGATTCTTCTGCTTCGGCCTCCTGAGAACTGGGATTACAGGGGTAGACCACTATGCCTGCCTTGGAGGTGATTTTAAAAAGAAAGACATGTTAACATGCAAACCTATCTATACTCAGAGACCAGTGAAAAATGTATCATGTGCTTTTTGAAGGACTGGGAACCATCAGAAAAACATGATCAAGTAGATTCTCTACTTTCTACATGTATCTTGCTGTGTGACACAGGGCAAGTCGTTTACCTCTCTGAGAGTTGGCATTCTCCAATGCTCACAGGATATGCAAGATCCGTTCCTAACCAACAGGAATTGTGACAGTCACAGAACAGGTGTGTGCTTGTATCAACATATACAGTCCTCTACCCACAGCACAGGAGTGTAGATGTACCAGCTACCTAGTTACAAACCAGAGATGATTTTCTCTCATATAAAATCTTATAAAATAAAATGAATTCCTTTCTTTCCTTCTCCACGTCAGCATTCAATTATTGTCTTCAAATACTTAAGCTCAAATGACCAGAATGAAATAAATGCAAATAAATAATTCCATAGCTTAAAACTTAAGGCAACAAATCTTCCTTTAAATGAAATAAACACTTCCCCCTCAGCCATACCGTACAGATAGAGTCACACCGGTGACTGATCATGTTCTTCTCTAATGGCTTCTCCCCACCCTTCTCAAGGTCACACGCCTAGCACCAGCCATTGCAGCTTTCCTGTTACAACTGGGCTTGTGAACGTTTTACTTCCCTAAATTCTTAGCAAACCTTTACAAGGTACTTCCAGGACTAAATATTTTCTTAATTTTGAGTCCTAATTCTGGGCTAGAGTTCTGGATTATAACATCTGGGCTTACATATGCTGACTCTGGCTTTCTCTGCCAACTCCCTGCCCCTCTGGCCATAAAAATGAGGCTGTGAATGGGAAGAGATGGACAGTTTAGAAGGCTCTGGTATCAGTACGATATGCACACACTCAAAAGAACTCTCCAGAGCGTGGCTCAACATTTTGGGGTTATAGTGAGCCTGAAAACAGTCTGGGGGAATGCAAAAAATGACAAGGTTTCTACTCACAGCAGCTGTAGGGACACCAGTCCATCAAACAGTCCCTTGGGAATCTCAGTGATCTTGTTCCCATAGAGCACCCTGGAAAAGAACAGATGACAGCAGTGAGCACGATATAAAGGAGGTTATCACCTCGGCCTGTTCTGGGTACAGGATCTCAGATTACCTGCCTCCCTGGTCCTGCCTCATCCATCCCTTCTCTTTATCACTAAGCTAGAGGCAGGCAGTTCAGGCTGGGTTGGGGGTGCTGTCCTGGAGGTGAGGGATGACAGGCTCCATCCATCCTGTGGCACTCCAGCCTAGCCCAGTAAATCACCCTCACCAGGAAGAAACAGCCTTTTGTGGTACCTCCTGAGCTGCAAGTGTCACTACAAGCATGACTCACGCCCCATTGTAAATAAGCAGTGTGGGAGGCCGGCCTGTGTCTTCAATGGATATTGATCTGGCTGATCCAGCCTATAGAATATTTCCTTTTAATATCCACTGCATCCTAGGAATTCTTGAGCGGAGTTCTTTAATCGTCCATCTAGACAGCGGGGCTTTCGATGTCTGGGGGCATTTCCAACTGGTGTGGGGATTGCTGAGTGGAGGCCTGGCTCGCTGGGGAAGCTGAGGAGCTTCCTTGTCTTAGATAATGGCAGTTTCCACTTTCTATCCACCTGTCCTATTTGTTCAGATCTAGGAACACAGGAACTCCGAACAGTTTGTACCTCCTCTTTCAGGTCCACGGTGTCCCTCACACTGATGCCTGATTGTGTTTGGTAACTTACAAAGCCTTCAAAAGAATCTGGGTTTGCCTCTCAAGCTCAGCACCCTGTGAGTCTCTAAGCCTGGACCCGAGACCCACCTGGTCTCTCTGCTTTGTCTTACGGCAGACATTGCTGTTTCTAGGGTCCAGCCTCCTCTTTGACCAAGAAACAGAGCTAAAGAGGTCTTGATTTATTTGTTTCTGTGAAGACTACCCCCACCCCAGGCCTCAAAGTACAAGGGCTGAATGCAACATCCAATTCCCACTCAAACTGCAATCCAGGCTGACACTCATCTAAGGAGGCAAATATTAGGATGAAGAAATAGCAAATGGGAAAGATACAGCAAATCCCCCATTTCCAGATGCCACCGGGAGTGAGGAGCAAATTCTCCATCAGCCTGCGGGTGTGTTTCATTAAGTCTTCAACAAATTAATGACTAAACAGAAGTCAGCATGATGGCGCAGTCTCACACTTGTAATTCATATTAATGCCCCACTGCTCACCGTGCCAAATGTGGTAATACTGCTTACTGCGTGCTCAGCTCGATGGATGCTTCTGGAATAACAGAAGCTGCTGGGGTGGGTGGAGCTGAGGGGCTTGGGGTAGGGGTCCTCAGGATGGGACATCCTTAAGCCTAGTGTCAGTCACTTGCCTATGCATCCACCTTAAGGGTGCCTGTCTGTGGGCCTGTCTGGCTTCCCACCCTGGGTCTTGCCTTGATTACCTTCACCTGCTTCTCATGCCTGAGCCCAACACCTCTTCCTTGGAGGGCTTCTCCTAAATGTGTCAGTTAAGGTTTTTCTACCACCTGTTCCTTTGTTTTGTTTCTTCCTAGCACTATCTTTACCTCATGTTCTGTTACTTATATGCTTATTGAGGCTGAAGTTTTGTGTTCTTCCTCTATCAGCTCTCCTATATTGAGATGCTCCAGGGCATGTCCATAGCCGGATTGCTAGGGTAGGGAACAGAACAAGATCCAGCACCATAATGGCAATGAAATAAATGAAGGAACAAATGAATGAATGAACGAACTGGGGTAAAGGCTCTCTACTACTTTACCCTGACTGTTCCCGGGCTGGGATCGGGTATGTTTATATTCAACAGTTGGCTCCATGAGGCCAAGAGTCTTGTCTTTTCAGTTCCTGGCCACATCATCGATGCCTCTTACACTGCTTAGTACACAGTAGGCATCTACTAAATGAACGACTGAATAAAAGCTGAGAGGTGCTTCACTTATTTTGCCCAATGTACACCTCCGAGCTGGCTAGTGGTGCGCCAATTTCATATTTAGCAACCAGATTTTTAATTTCTCCTACAAGACAGGAGTCACCTCAGTATCCTGAGATTGCTCCCAAATCTTGGCTAAAGGAGACCAGACAAAGGGAATGGGAAGGCTGGGATCCTTGTGGAAGGTGGCCCCTCCACCTCCTCTCCTCTGTGAGGCTCAGCACAATAAGCAGACACTAATCTTACACATGGCCCTGTCTTTGAGAGCCCAGCCAGATGTTCTATTCGATAAATGAAACTAATTTACTCTGCAGGCAGCAGACGCCAGCTGAATGAGAGACTTCCTGTCCTCGGTCCCTGCCCAGTGGGATGGGAGGATGTGTGCACCTTGTTACCTGTACACTCATAAACTAAGCAAATAGGCTGTGAAGAGACAAAACATAGCTTGCCTGTGAGCACCCTCCTTATTGTATGAGGTGTGGTAGGGAATGGGTCTCCAGAAGATATATATACATCTCGATGAAACCATTGCTGTATCTGATGTCAGACATGTCAACAGGGCTCCATGGCACGGAGATGAGGAGTGGGAGTTCTAGAACCAGATACTTTGGGCTCAAGTCTTGTATGTCACACTACTGTGGACTTTAGATACGTCACTTTGCTTACTCAAAATTCTCTCTCTCCTCCTGCCCACCTCATATATATAATATATGTGTGTGTGTGTGTGTGTGTGTGTGTGTGTGTGCATGGGTATGCTCACCTGTATACGTGTGTGTGGAGGCCAGGAGTTGATGTTGGGTGTTTTCTTCAACTGTTTTCCACTTTATTTTTTGAGACAGGTTCTCTCAGAGAATCTGGAGCTCTCAGTTTGGGCTAGACTGGCTGGCCTGTGACCTCCTAAGACTTGCCTTTCTCTACCCTGCTCCCAGTGCTGGGGTTACAAATGCATGCCACTGAGCCCTGCTTTTATGGGATGCTGGGGATTTGAACTCAGGTTTTCATGCTTGTGTAGCCAGTACTGTACTTGCTGAGCCATCTCCACAGCCTCTTCTACCTCAGGAAACATGCACAGAAGCCTCAAGGGACTTTACTATGCCTGAAGGCGCCATCGAAGGATGAGGCAAAATCCCATACCTTTTTACCTGGGGGGAGGGTGTCTACGGGCCCCTGGTGAGCAAAGTTTTGTTTGGGCTAAGGGCTTCGAAATTTTTAAAAAAGGAAGGGTGATGGGAGGTAGGAATCTTTTCAGAGCAATGACCACATGATTGGAAAAAGGTTGAAAAACTGAAAGGAAACAGTCCCTCCCTTGACAAGGCCAGGTACACAGGAGGAGTGGCCAGCCAGGGGCCTTTATCTCTGACCTGTATTACCACTCACTCCTCCTGGTCTCTCGAGACAGCACTGTGCAGCATGGGGTGGGAGGGGGAGCGAGGTTAGAGTGGAAGACACATTCGAATTAGAAGCCAATAACTGGGAAAGCCGCTGGGCAGTTAATCAATAAAAATAATGCATGTGAGTTGTAGAAATATTCCCCAAGATCAATTTCCCCCAAAGAAATATTTGTTTCTTTTACCAGATTGCCACAAGTGTGTAAGGGAACATAAAGCCTTGATAAACAACACCTCTGGAAAAATATGGAACCCCCCCCCCAATTTGGCCCCACTTACAGTGACGTGAGTGATTTCAGGCCCTGGAATGCATCTGGAGCTATGTCCGATATCTGATTCTTGCTGATGTCTCTGAAAACATCAATGGAAAAGTCTGAAAACATGGCTCACAGGTGTGATAACGCTCTCCCCTAAGCATGAACCCAGCAGTCTAGGCATTCAAAACCAGCAAGGATTAGTTGATCAATCAAGCAATTTATTTATTCTTAGCCTAAGAGGAGGTGCCCAAAGAGCCTCTCCCACTGTCTTGGGGTGAAATATGCTGCTTTTTTAAAATCAGTTTTCTCAGGTTCTAAGGAATGTTCACCCACGTCCTCTTGTTGGGGACAGCAGGCTATGCATACGTATGTCATTACTGTGTAGGTCTAAAACCATACCCAAAAGCTGGGCATGCTGGAGCACTATGATTCCAGTACTGGAGGGGTGAAGCAGGAGGATTGGACAATGGAGGATAGCCTGGGCTAGAGAGTGATACCCTGTCTCAAAAAGCAAACAAAATAATATGATCAAGATGTAGGGTATGAAATGCACAAAAATTCAATAAAAATATATATTGGAAAAAACCCAAACAAAATGAAACCTAACCAATGACAGAAACAAAATCCCTAGAACAAACCCCAAACCAGCAACCCCCACCCCAGCCAGAGGCATTGTCTTAGGTATGAGTATTGACTATCTAATGGTACAAATGAAGCAGCACAGGCCCCCACCCGACCACAGGACAAGGTAGGTGCCTTTAAGCGTTGATTTCTTGTTTTACACTCTAACAATGATCATCCCCCTGAAAGACTTGAGGTGTTTCTCCTCCCCGGGGACTTCCTCCCTGACTTGAAGGAGTTTCTGGAACAGGGACTGATGATAGCATCTGATTCAATGTGTCCTCTCAGGTGTGATGTAAGTGCATCAAGAGATTCTCAAAGGATGCCTTTGATACATGGATGCATCACTGGCTGGCAGTGCTCCTCATGTGGAGACAAGCCCAGGGAGGTGACATATCCAGTGCATGCGTGTTAGAAGGATCCCCCAAGCACAGGGCATATGGTGGCTAGCCTGGCCTCCTAGGTGCAGGGAGCCTCTTGTGTGGTTCACCCCTAGAGGTCTGCTGCTGTGTGCTTTCAGCATCTCAGCAGGACCAGGGCCACAGGTCCTTGATAAGGGAGGGGAATTTCTTTCTCTCAGAGTTATTAGCTTAGGGCTGGCCTTTGGGCTCCTGTCACTGGTGGAGAGATGCTCCAATTTCCGGAGACAAGGAACCTCTCCGATTCCTTTCCTTTAACAAAACAAATCAATGGGTCCTTGCTTTTGTACCAGTGGGGGAGGGCTGTCTTAGCAGGCCAACAAGGAGGAGACAAGAGGAAACTGAGAAGACAGCACATCTGGGAACATTCATAAATGACTGCCCTCAGCCAGGCCAGACACCCAGTTCCCAGTCTCTTAAACACATGCAAAGGGAGTAGCCTTGATCCTGTTTCCCTCCTTCATCCAATGGTCTAGGAAAGGGCCATGCAATAACCTTTACCTAGATCTCTGCTCCCTTCCCTCTTGCTTCCAAAGTCTGTGAGTTAAAAGACACTTCCCAGGTTAAGGCCTCTTCTACACAGCTGTCTGGTTTATCCCTTTAGCTGGTGAGATCGCCTCGAACAAATCCAGCTTGTGCTCACAAACTTGTCAGCTTACACTGGGCTTTTCTTCAGCGTTCCATTTTTGGATAAGGGTTTTAACAAGCAAATACCCTGGATTATCCTAATCTTGTTCACCCTCGGGTGGCTGCCTAGTAAAGCATTTTGGGCAAATGCACTGGGTCTGCTCAGACCATATTAGGGAGGAGGCTTGCTTTGACTCTTTCCCTCCTTGATCATGTGGTATTGCTTCAAGATGCTCAGACCTTGCACATACATGAAGTCCCTTGGCCACTGGGAAAGATTCTTGCCTTAGCTTTGTGGGGACAAACTAGTATTTTAGTCCACTGTTAGAACTTCTGGGATCAATCTTCCTTGGGCTATAAGATGAGGTAAAATACCTCCTGATTTTGGAAGAAGTGGAGAGTGGGAATTGGAGAAGTGATAGTTTTCCTGAAGACAGACCCTCCCTGGTGGTCGGTCACTGAGGCTGTCTCCATATATATTTGTACCAAGATATTTTGGGATACGTATTTATTATAGAATGGATAAATCAAGCTATTTAGCACATGAATTGCCTTGTATACCTTTTTTTAAAACCTATTCTTGTAATGGGAACACTTAACACCTACCCTCAGCAATTTTCAAGTACACAATACACTGTTAACTATTGCCATCATGTTACACAATAGATCTCTTGAACATCTTCCTGCCCAATTGAAATTTTGTATCCTTGGACCAATATCTGTCCAGTGCCACCACCACCCCTATCTCCACCAAACCCCTAGTTCTGCTTCTTTGAGCTGGACTTCTTAGGATTTCATGTATGTGTTGGCTCATCTTCATTGTCAACGTGGCAGGATCACCTCAGAGATACATTTGGTTGTGTCTGGGAGGGTGTTTCAAGAGAGGATTAAGTGGGAAGGGAAGACCCACCTGAATGTGGGTGGCACTATCCAATGGGCTGGAGTCCCCAGTGAATAAAAAGACAAAGGAGGATGCCAGCTGAGCACCAGACCTGACCTCTGACCTCTGCTTCCTGACCAACTGCCTCAGCTTCCACTCCCATGTCTTAACTGTCATGATGACTTTGTATCCCTTTAAACTGTGAGCCAAGATGAATCCCTCTTCCTTAAGCTGCTCTTGTCAGGTACTTGGTCACAGCAAAGAGAAGAGTAACACAATAGATCATGTGGTTCCCTTTAAGTCTGCAGGAAGGAAGCAACAGCCCTGAGAGGTGAAGGACCTGAAGCCTCCAGGAACTGGATTCAGTCATTTGGGTACTGAGTGGCCTTCTATCTCCAGATCTTCAGCTCAAGACCCTTTGTGACACTTCACTATGCTTGATACAGAATCAGTGCACAGGACAGAAGGCAGATGGGGGCACTGGGAAGCTGCCCTTGATACCTGCTGAGTCCATAGAAAGATGGTCCTGGAACTGACTGCACAATGCAAATCCCAGAGAGGCTGAATTGTGAACCTGGGTGTTGGGTGTGCGTGCGTGCGTCCGTGTATGTGTGCGTGCGTGCATGCGTGTGTGTGTGTAAATCTGTGCATTTAATAAATCTATAATAAATATACATGATTTGTGAACCTGGGTGTTGGGTGTGCGTGCGTGCGTCCGTGTATGCGTGCGTGCGTGCGTGTGTGTGTGTGTGTGTGTGTAAATCTGTGCATTTAATAAATCTATAATAAATATACATGCAGGTGACTCCTATATCATACCATAATGCACTATGTTCTAGAGTCTGGTCAGTCTGAGACCCACTCACTCCCCTGGGTCTATACACTGAATGTCTAAGAGAGTGGCTTTTCCAGACTGGAACAGAGGTGTCAAATTCAAGGATATATAAGGGTTAAACAGAGAATGAAAGCGCAAGACACTAGAAAGTCTCGAAACCCATGAAAGACTGTCCTTCCTAAGAATATGCAAATGAAAAGATATTTGTTTGCTTGCTTTCTGAGACCTAGTTGGCTACGTAGCTCAGGTTGGCCTCAAATTTGCCATCCAAGTGCCTTAGCCTCCCAAGTTGGGATTATAGGCCTGCACTACTACATCTGGCTTTAAAGAACTCTTAATTCACCATTCTGACAGAACATCATAGACTTAGACTGCAGCTGTTAGAATTCTCAACAAATCAACCTTATAGAAGAAGTTGGAGTAATCTCCAGAGCCTCCTCTCTGTACACACACCTTCTCTATTTAGATACTGGATTTTTACTTGGGAGTATTTCTTTTAATATTGAGATGATCACTAGAAATAGGTAGGGATTCACGGATAATTCTTTTTTTTTTTTTTTAAAGTGAGACCAGGATGTAATTCAGTCATAGTTGAGGGAAGAAATTTCTAGCTGGTAAATATTATATATAAAATGGTCATGGGCATCTGGAAGGAATTCACTATTAGGATTTAAAATCTATTCTCACCTGGAACTTGCCTTACCCCACACCATTAAATAACAATATAGATTTCTGAAGTCCTATTAGTCAAAAAATTTTGAGTGAGTTCTTTTCCCTCCTATCATCCCCTTGGGGGGGCATCATAATAAATATCAGTAGCATCAGAAGTGATCAAAAATTAAATTCACTTTCCAGGTCGTGACTGATAAGGTCTTATGAATTCTGAATGCAGCAATCGTGGTAACTCCAATAGGATGGAGAGAGGACAGTAAAACAGCCAAGCTCTAAATTACCTGGACTCCACAAAAAAATTAGAGCAGTAACTTAAATCATGCAAGAGCTATAGGTTGGGGCAGTGACTGAACTTGTCATTTTTCACTGAAATTACTATCTGGCTGCATAATCAAGCTGGGCTTTAAAAATGAATTGGGGGGGTGTGTATGCATGAAGAGGGCACTGGGAAGCAGGGCCACCGGGAGATTAATGACCCAAGGGTTTTAAATATTAAGGCCTATATTTATACAGCTCTTCCAGAAAGGATGCTGCCAAGGGAAGGGAAGAGGCCTGTGCTTTGTGCTGGCTCATTATGTTGGTTTTCACTTCTGGAGTTGCACCAGGAGAAAATCTTGTTTGCTTTGGCTTTCCAGGGAGATAGGAAGTTGGCTTCCTGAGATCTGAGGGTAAAGCCTACTAATGCCACTGTTTCTCAGGGATGTTTATTTTTAACATGAAAGGAATCAGCAGACCTTGTTAATACAGGCCCTCCCACTCAAGGGAAACCCGTGAACAGGCCTGGCATGCAAGGAAAAAACAGGATGGCATCCATGCATTATTTCTTCCTGCCCCTTCTCTGGTGGGATGAAAACAGATCTTACGTACTAGGGGGTCAGACTAATGATTTCCCAGCCTAGAAAAGGGGAAGTGGGGGTGTCTCCCTCCAAAATCTTAATATCTGTAATGGCATAGTTTGGGCTATTTCTGAATCCCACTTGCCTCCCTTCCAATATTCCAGTGTGGAATGATTCACATTGAGGGTTCAAGGCCATCGTGTGATGGGAGAAGGATGACTGGCTTTGTTCCATGGTAGGGATAATGCAGCAGTGCCATCACAGGCTGCCGGGGTAGGAAGGATACAGCATGCTGAAGTCACCAGGTGATGATGTGCTATAGTGCTAGGTGTGGTATCAGTCACCATGGTCCTGGGATGTTACAGCTGACTGTGAGCAAGTCATGTCACTGTGATCAAGTCAAGCCATATGTCGATATGTTAGCCATACCCTCCAGGGCCCATATATTTCACTTAGAAAAAAGAGAAAGTCTTTAATGTGGTCTCAAGGGCTCATGTGACCCAGCCCCTCTCTGCCCCTCTGCATAATCTTGGCCCTCACCCTTCTCTTGCTTACTCGTTCTCATTGGCCACTAACTGCTATGCACAATGCTCTTGCCTTTCCTTTGCTCATACTGCAGCCTGGGACAGCGTATCATTTTCTGGTACTAATCTGTGCTCTCCCAACGGCAGTGAAGCCTCCCTGAATGTACTTACTTTTGTGAATTGCTCTATCCAGATTCCGGCTCACAGCAGTCACTAGCATTAATTACCCAAGTGTATGCATGGTTTAGGGATGTTGGTGATGGCAGTACAGGAAGATATAAAGTTCACTGCTAATGAAACTCCTCAGCTGTCCACATAACCGAAGCTAAGGGCATCAAGTTGGCCAATACGGTTTTGGGGGCCAACAAATCTTTTTGTCTCACAAAGATAATTTCACTTTGCTCTAGTTATAGAGGCTTTTAGTTCTAGATGCCAAAGCTCACATGTCTTACAATCTGTATACAACACTTCCTCCCAATCTCAGAATAGCCCAGACCTATCCAGAAGTGGATGTGGTCTGCCAACCAGAGAAGCTGCCTACTACACAATGCAAAGTCCCCTACCCCCATGAAAGCATTTAGATGACTTCCTCCCAGGGGAAACTCACATTCGCTTCAGTTTCTTGTACTGGGTGAAGGCTCCTGCAGGGATGGACTTGATGGTGTTCTGTTCTAGGCGTCTGGGAAACAGAGCAGAGAAGAGTCGATTAACCATGGCCTCTCAACAAGGGGCTACAGCAGGCTATTGTGTTCTTTGGCCTTGAGGTCAGGATGGCATCTCTCAGCACAAGGCACAGGTCCTGGATGTGGGAGACAAGGCAACACTGGCCACTAGGTACAGCTTTTGGCCTGTAGAGCATTATCCAAGGGTCTAAGAGTCCTTGGAGAAAGTGGGAAATGATTTCTTGCAGAGCTTTGATGCTTACTTATTATAAGCTGCCTTTGAAGGTCGTTGTCTTCTTCAGAGTAAGCTGTAGGAAACAACCAAGAAGTGTTGAAGAAGATGAAGGAAGAATGAGAGAGAGATGGATGATGGGCCAGCAGTGATTACCTGTCATGGAACCATGTAACTAGTCACTTAAAATCTTGACCATATAATGGACAGAAATGTCAACAGCTGGCTTCATTTGGGGGATCTGCAATGGGCAGTTTTAATAGTAGAGAAAGAGCCTTTAAGTCTTTAGGCTTCCAGCCTGCTATCCATCAAACGGGTTCCCTGACATCCTGGAGGCCCCAACAGCCTAGGCTGGCTTCCTGAGCTGCTCCTGGAACTTGTAGCTTCTACTTCATATGACCTTCCTGAAATGCTTCCATTCCCACGACTCTGGGAAGAATAAGGGATACTGCAGGCCCAGATCCCAGACCTTCCTGGAAAGAGACAGGACCATGGGGAGTGAGTCTTTCCGGTCTTATTCTTTCATCTCTCAAATGCTTTCCCATCACCAAGAACAGGTGTGGTGGGAAACAGGCATGAACCGGTGGCGGGATGCTCTATTACAGATGATGAATGACACTGGGACCTGGGCTGAGGTCTCAGGATCCCATCTTCATCCATCTCCCCGCTCCCCAGGGTGCAGATCTTTTCATCAGCTCCTCATTTGGCACGGCTGTTCCCCAAACCCTCAGCTGGGAAGACATGCAGAAAAAGGTGTGTATGGAGGGCGATGTGGGGGGAGCAAGAGGGAGAGAGGGCGGAACCAGTTCCCTTGGAGGCTATGTCTAGTGGTTGCACACTTCTGGCATGGTGGATCCATTCATCTCGAAGAGTAATCCCCGCTGCAGAGTGGGGGAGACAGTCGTATTAATTTGTGCCTCAGCGATCTCATCTTCATTGGGGGAACAGAGTATTTGTTACTGGAACCGCTAATGGAGCAGTTTGCCAGCAATTTTCCCATTTCAAACAACATCTCAGCTGCTAATGTGGAATGGTTTGTCAGGCCTACCCATAACACAGACAAATCACTCTCCAGGCAAAATGAAGGGGGAAAGAGTGGGGGCTGAAAGAGGAAGGGCGGGTGGGGAGAGGGAGCATCAGGACAGATCATTCTTGGCTGCTGAATGAACAGAGTCTACAAATGAGACTGTCACGGTCTGTTAGCAATGCCTTTGTGCCCTGTGGGAGGGGGTAGGGAGGGAACTTTCCTGGGATTGCAGTCACAGCCTGGCTGAACAGGGGCCTGACTGGCTGGTGGTGAATCACCAAAGCTTGTACCGGGACTTAGGGACCATGGACTACTGGATATAACTACCCACAGAGGCAGCCTGCCTTGACAGACTTTCCAAGGACATTCTTGTTTTCCAGCTGAGTACAGCGTTTCAGTAGGAATTTCTCAGCCAAGGCAGCAGCTCCATGGATCTCTGAGGCTGCCAGCCTGGTGGCTCATGCTCCCCAGGCATCCTGTGATTCACTTGCCATTCTGGCAAGGGATTCCAGCTATTTGCCACCTCTGGAGAGAACCACTGTCTGTAAGGATGGTGACTTTGTTTTTGTAGGAGAATTCCTCTCTCCTAACTGTAGCTGGAGGCCTATGCATGAGAGGCAAGGCTAGGTATGAGGTCTGCTGGCTCTCCATGCAGTTCATCATAAGTCAGCTTCCACTCTGGCAATGAGGAAGCACTAACTAAGGGAGGGATGCACCAAGGATCAGGATGTGACATGGGCCTCAAGGACAGAGTTGAGCTCAAGATGCCCCATCATAGAACTGAATGTTATTGCTACCATAATAATCAAGGCGAGCTGGCATTATGGAGTCATGTTGTTTATGTCTGATATTTCTTTTGGTCTTCACATAAGGCAAAAGAAACCTAGAGGAATCATTAACTTGTCAAAAAAGACAAAGGTATTAAGTGGTGGAACTGATGACTATCTTTTTCTAGCTATTGGTCACACTGCTGGACCATATTTGTGAATATGGGAAATAGAGACTTTCTCAGAGTCTCGGGAAAGTTTAAGCCCACCAACACTGTGGCTGTAGGGCCTCACTGAAAATGCCCTCAAACCTAAGGAAAGATGGACGGAGATGTGAATACTTTCATCCCTCCAAATCCAAATCCATGGGCTCCACATTCACATATTCAACCAACTGTGCTTCAAAAATATTCAGAAAAATGCATTATTGAACATACAGACTTTTCCTTGTCATTGAGTTCTAAACAATGCAGTCTAACATCCATTTACACAGCATCGACACTGTGTTGTGTATTAAGAGTAATTGAGAGATGATTTACATTATACAGGAGGATGTTCACAGCTTCTGTGCATTTCATAGAAGGGACTTGAGCATCTGAGGATTTGGATTTGGGGGTTCATGGTCCTAGAAGCACCCCCAAGCATATGAAGAATGACCATATATGGATGGCCGTATATGTATATGATGCATAATGTATGCATGGAGTACAAAGGAGTGATGTTTAGACAATGAACAGAGAACGCCAAGCTTAGCCTGTTAACCCTGGCAGAGGCGTTGCCTTGTATTCTGTAGTCCTTAGACTTGCTCACTCTGCAAATGGGCCTTGTCTGCATCTCCTGGCTTCCCATTGGACTCCTTCTGGAGTGTCAAGGCCATAACATGCTCAGAAGGCATTAGGGATTCTGGTGGTGGTGAAAGGGTAGTTATGGAATAACCCGTGTCCCTTAAGTACAAAGTGGAGGTAAGAGTAAGGCTAACAAGGCGAAGGGCTGATGTGTGTCAGGAGTGGATGTCAGACACTGGGCTAGGAGTTTTACATGTATGTCAAACTTAATATTTACACATCTGTGAAGCGTATCTACGAATACCATCCCTCCTTCCCTCCCTCTCTTCCTTCTTTTGAGACAGGGTCTCCTTATATAGCCCATGCAGGGCTGAAACTTAGGATCATGCTGCCTCAGCCTCTTAAATGCTAGGATTACAAGTGTGTGGCACCATCCCTAGCTCTAATCCCTACTTCAAACATGGGAAAATTGAGGCTCAGAGAAGCAAAATCACTTGCCCAAAGTCAGGCGGGACTAGAGTTGGGGTTTCAAGTTTGTCTGATTCTAAAACCCAGACTCTCAAACCACTGGATTCTATTGAGCCTGCATTCTTCTAGTTCTTGCCAGCTCACTGGCAAGGAAAATGGCCCTTCTGTCAGAGAACCGAGGCTGAAGGGTGCACACGCATGCACATGTACACACGGACACACAGTCCCTATACAGAAAGGACCCTGAGGAGGTCGAACATGTCACTCGTCCTACAGCTTAGAACAAGGAGACAATGATCTAGTCTCCCAGTGAAAACACTTCAGTGTAAAGAACAAAAAGAAGCATTAGCATTAGCAAAATCTGTCACATTTCAGGATGTGTCTGAAGCCAACAGCTGTTTTAGGTCTCCTAACTGGCACATGTGTCTTGCTTTGTCTGGCAAACATTCTTCAGGCTGCAAACTGATTTAATAGAACTCGCATAAAAACAAACATACAAATCACACATCCAAGCATCTTCCCGCACCAGCAAAAACAATGGAAACATCTGATGGGGACTTCAGCCATTCGCACTCTATTGATTTGCCCTAGTTCCTCGGGTGCTCCCTTAATGATCTGTCATTTGCAAACACGCGGCTGAACAGGATATATTTCTGGAAATACCTAAGCCGGCATGATGGCAGTAGGAATGGCAGGGGTATGCCCAGTGCATGGGCATGGCTGTAGGTCACCAGGTAAGGAGGTGCTGGAGCCGTTAGAGACGCTGGCGGTACCCTCAGTGACAAGAATACAATGAACATCCACCAGTTATCGAGGGCTTTTATATGTCAGACAGGGTGCGCTTCACAAACTGCCTCATCACATTCCTGTCTACGGGACTCTGGAACAAGCAGTACTATTATACCGTTTTATAGGTGAAGAAACGGTGGTTCAAGTCATTTTGCCTAACATCTGCAGCTACTGAATATCACAGCTTGGACTTGACCCCAGATTGGCCTGATACAAGTGCCTGGCCTCTTAGTTTCTATTCAGGTTGAGAAACTGCCTTCATTGTTTTAGTCCTTGTCACTTAAGAGTTTCTTAATTCTTATCACTCTTAGTTTTCCCGTGACTCGGCAACTCTTTTTGAGTGCACATGTGTGTGTACACAAATGCGTGTGTTGAGGTCCTGAGGTCCTGGCTGTTTTTCCTCCATTTGCTCTCCACTTCCCCCTGCCCCTCTCTCTCTGAAACAGGGTCTCCTTGTAGTCCCAGCTGAGCTGGAACTCACCATGTAGACCAGGCTGGACTCCATCTCACAAAGAATCACCTGTGCTGGAATTAAAGGCATGAGCCACCACACCTGACCCCACCTCTATTTCTTGATACAGAGTCTTTTGCTGAACCTGAAGCTCATTGATTTGGCGAGGCTGGCTAGCCAATGAGCTTGGGAATCTGCCTGTTTTGGCTTAACCCCCCGCCCCCCCGCCAAATGAGCTTACAGGCACATACTGCCGTGCCCAGCTTTTTGTAGGGCGTTCTGCGGATCTCAACTCAGCTCTGCAGGCTTGTGTGGCAGGCACTTTACTGAGCCATCTCCCCAGTCCTTGACTTGGGAACTCTTGCTAGAATATCTAGATCCTAGGGAAGCATGGCAATCCCATGTTTTCTTCCCCCAAATCATTCTGAGCCATTTTGTTGGAGACTAGGTAACAACTGAGTCTAGAAGTTCAGTTCCTGATGCTTGACTCTGCCTGAA